TTTTGGGCAGGGGAAGGAAAGCAATAATATAGCTGAGGAAAAGTGTTTGCACCAGCACCCACTTTCAGTTACGAAAATTTTAACGTTCACTTGAGCAAGGAATACAGCTTTCAAAAGTCTGAAATAGGAGTGCACTGTAAATGCACACAAAAAATGAAACCTGTTTTATCCTGACCACTGGACCTCTTCATTCAGCTTCTCCTACTCCCTACCAGATGCCAGAAGAGTGGCCAGCCCTTCTGGGTTTCAAGTCCTATCCAGTTCATCAGGGAAGGAGGATCCTCTTCTCCTTTAGGCCTTGGGCTATAAGACTTAAATCAGGAATTATATGTTCTCCTCCTTTCACATTGTGGCAAACTCAAGCACATTACAGCTCTCTTCCTTAACAATTAAAATTGATGTGGAGTGTATTTGTGAATAAAACTACCTCAGGGAAGAATTTGTTCTTCATCTACCAATATCTAAAATGGTTCTCAGAAAAGCAGCACAAACCAGATCATTTCCAATAAATGGTGCTTAAGTAGTTCCAGTGAATGACCCAAAAAAGTACACACAGAGGAACAAACACTTAGTCTGTTCCAGACTGGTACTAAAATAATTGTTCAGCCAAGGTCACTGGACAAAAACATTTAAAATTAACTCAATTGGTCTTCATGGGCACCAAAGTCAATTTTGAAATCAAAACTGCTGCAGATACCAATTACTTTGGGGTGACTGCTTTGTCAGTACAGCAATGGGCTTCTCAAATTATCAGAGATTTTAATTAAAAAACATTGCTTGCTTGTGTTTATACTAAGACAGAAAACACTACAATATACTAGACTTTCCAGCAACTGTGTTGTCCCTCTTTGCATGTCTCACATGGTCTCAAGGGCATAAGACTTCAAGTAGTAGTTCATCTGGGCTTGGCTGCACAGCTAATACAGAGTGGGAGGTTACTATTGGCAGAATAAGTTTTCTAATGAGTGTACTTGGTTTATGTTGTATATACAGTTCTCCTTCACAGACCATTAGAAATGTAATCTTGGGCCTATCCTGGGCTAGGATACTAAAAGCCAGAGAACTGGTGCTGCATTTTCAGCATATTTGCAGTAAAAATAAAGCAACCCAAATAGGGACAATAGCAGTTTCTTCAGAAAATCCTGGTTTACAAGTTATTGCTTTTCTAAGCCAGCTGCAAAAACCCAACTAATAAACATTTTTAGCTTTCCATGAGATGTCACTGGGCACTGATCTGCGCTAGAGATTCTAGATGGAGCTGCTACCATAAAACTCCCTTTCCTAACCACACAATTACATTGCTGTCCCAGTATTAACTACATCCCCAAATATCACAAGCACAATGAAAAGCACATAATGTCATAAATGATATAAATCCAGACCAATCAGCAAGCTTATATACAGGGAAAAGCCTACCAAAGACTAAAATCAGTGAAGAAGATTTCTATTTTAATTTCTTTATTAAAATACATTATTTTGCAGACAGCTTCCATGTACCTATTTTCTTTCTTGCACCCAGCTTGTGCAACATAAGTTTTCTGATGTAAAGAACAATTTTATTCATTGAATTTTAAAAAAATCTATTTCAAATGAAAATCAATCATTACCTTGGACTTTTTTCTGTACTCTTAAATCACAAACATAATTCACAAAAGTTTTCTTATTTGCTTGTTTCATAACTGATCATACACAGAACACTAATTAACTAGAGAGCACCTGCAGAACTACAGACATGACCCATGCCTTAGTCGTGCAGGCAGAAAAATCCAAGAAAGCCATTCTCTATATTGATTTCAAAGCTTAACACATAGTTCAAGAAAATCTTGTGCAACATTTCCTTGAGTTTCTTGGAAAAACTTGTTATGAACTTACTGATCCATGCTTTCCCATCTGCTGTACTTCAAAGGCATCACACAGTCCCATGGTGTCCAGGACTCCAGCTTTTCTTCCAGGACTTGGGGGAGCACGTGAGCCAGTGGACTTAGAGCATAGTGTGGCAGAAAGGAAATGCAGCAGCATTCAGTGACAGGTATTCAAAATCAAAAGTCTGTTTCAAAAAAAAATGCTTGTTGTTGTTGTTGTGCTTAAACATCAGGAGAGGCTCACAGGAGGCAGGGGCTGTGGCGACAGCACACGAGGAACCACAGTGATGGCACAGCCACACTCAGCAAAGTGACACTGTAGATCACAGAATCATATGGTCTGGAAGGGATCTTAAAGATCCTCTAGTTCCAACCCCTTTGCATTCCACTAGAGCAGGTTGCTCAAAGCTCCATCCAACCTGGCTGTGAACACTTCCAGGGATGGAGCATCCACAACTTCTCTGCACAACCTGTTCCAGCGTCTCACCTCCATCTGAGCAAAGAACTTCCTCCTAATACCTAATTTAAACCTACTCTCAATTTAAGGCCATTCACCCATGTCCTATCACTACATGCCCTTCTAAAAAGTGTCTATCCATGTTTTCTTGTAGGCTTCTTTCAGATACTGGAAGGCCATGAATAGATCACCCCTGAGCCTTCTCTTTTTCAAGCTGAACAATTCTTTCAGCCTTTCTTCATAAGAGAGGGACTGCATTCATCTGATCAACTTGTTGGCCCTTCTCTGGACTTGCTCCAACAGGTTCATGTCCTTCCTGTGCTGTGGGACTCCAAAGCTGCATGCAGCTCTCCAAGTGGGGGCTGACAAGAGCAGAGGAGAGGGGCACAATCCCAGGATGAGGTTGGCTTTCTGGGCTGCAAGCTCACACTGCTGGTCCATGTCCTGCCTCTCACCCACCAGTACCTCCAAGTGCTTCTCGGCAGGGCTGCTCTCTATCTATTTAGAACCCAGTCTATATTGATACTGGGGTTTGACCTCACCACTGAGTCTTCTTAAACCTTGTGAGTTTCCCATGGGTCCACTTCTCGAGCTTGTCCAGATCCATGCCATCCCTTCCGCAGTCAGTCACAGCACAGTTGGCACGCCCAGCCCCTGCCGGTGTGTACGTGCCTGGTGTCGGGCACTCCGAGGGGCCCGGGCCGGTGGTGGCCGAGCAGGGAGCCGAGGGGAGCGCCTGGGGCGCACTGCAGGGCAGAGGCGCCTCGGGCGTGGGAGAGGGCAGATACAAACATTTCCAGGAAAACCTCCCAGCCCGTGAGGAGCCGAGTTTGGGGTGGGGGGAGAGCCTGCGGCAGGGAAAGGGTGTGCTAGGAGTTAAGGTTCAGGAGAGGAGCCCGCGGGAGAGGCGGCGGCGGCGGGGCCGAGGGCAGGACTGTCACCGGGGTGCGGGAGGCGCTGTCGCCTCTTACACAATGTGGGAGATTGGGAGAGATCGTCTGATCCAGCCTCCCTGCTCCAGCGGGGTCATCCTAGAATACATTACCCAGAATTACGTCCAAACGGTTCTTGAGTTATCTCCAGTGAGGGAAACTCCACATCCTCTCTGGGCAATCTGTTCCAGTGCGCGGGCACCCGCACAATAAAGAAATTTCTCCCCGTATCCAGGTGGAACTTCCTGTGCATCAGTTTCTGCCGTGGCCTCTTGTCCACTATCGAGAAGAGCCTGGCTCTTGGCACCCTCCCTTCAGATACCCACACACACTGATGGTTCGTAGTTCCCCTTTGTGGCACTAATTCACACATTTTTAACGCGCCGGGCGTTACCCAGCGGCCTGTGCTGAGCCACGATCTGTGCTGGGCCCCGCCTGCCCGCGGGCCCCAGGCTGGTGTCCCGCGGCAGCGCAGGCCTCCGGCCCGGCCCGACCCTTGGCTGTGCCCAGCGTCTGCCGGAGCCACCCTCGGAGGGACTTTCTGTCCCAGTGAGGCAATCGCTGCGGGACACGGCGTTTCTGCTTTCGGCACGGCGAGCCCCGCCGAGATTTGTCTGTCCGACATGTCCGTGTCTCCGCACTTCTGCTTTTCGGACCCAGCGGCTGCCGGTGGGGCACATGGCCGGGGGTGGGCGCTGAGCCGGGCTGGGGACCCGCCGGCGCCTGGAAGAGCTCATGCACCTTCCTTCGGGGCCTGCGTCCGCTCAGTGACATCGGCACAGCCATGCAGCACTACAGGCTGAGGGCAGAGTGGCTGCAAAGTGGAAAAGTGGAAAAGGACCAGTGGGCAACAGCAGCAGAGAGCCAGCAGAGTGTGAAGGTGGCCAAGAAGGCCAATGGCATCCTGGCTTTTATCAGCAATAGTGTGGCCAGCAGGATCTGGGCAGTGATTGTCTCCCTGCACGCACTTTGGTGGGGCTGCACCTTGAATACTGAGGTCAATCCTGGGGCCCTCGGTTCAGAAGGACATTGAGGGGCTGGAGCGTGTCCAGATCAGGGCAATGAAGCTGGTGAAGGGTCTGGAGTGCATGTCTTGTGAGGAGCAGCTGAGGGAGCTGGGGGTGTCTAGCCTGGAGAAGAGGCGGCTCGGGGGTGACCTTATTGCCCTCTACAAGTGCCTGAAAGGAGATTTCTTCTCCCGGGCAATCAGTGACAGGACGAGAGGACATGTCCTCAGGCTGCACCAGGGGAGGTTCAGGTTGGACGTTAGGAAGAAATTCTTTACAGAAAGGGCGATTAAATACTGGGACGGACTGCCTAGGGAGGCGATGGAGTCACCGTGCCTGGAGGTGTTTAAAGAAGGCTGTGGCACTTAGTGCCATAGTCTGGTTGATGCGGTGATGTTCGGCCACAGGTTGGACTCGATGATCTCGGATATCTTTTCCAACCGAACTGAGTCGGTGATTTTTGTGACAACAAACGCTCGGTGCCCGTTTGGCGACCGAAGCCCCCGGCCCTGCCGAGCCCCCGCGACACCTGGGCGCGGCCCCGCCCCCCGCCCGGACAGTGACGTCACCCCAGGTGCTTCCCGCCTCCTGCTCCCGGGGAGGCGTGATCTCCGCGGCCCTCGGTGGGCGGGGCGAGGGCCGCGCATGCGCTCGGCGCCGGCTGCGGGACACCCGGTCGCGAGCGTATGTGCGAGCCCGCCGCTGCCGTGAGGCGGGGGGTTGTGTGCGAGCGGTTGCAGGCTCGCCGCTCGGCCTCCTGCGGACAGGCTCGCGCGCCCTGGCGGCCGCCGCCACCACCATGTCCGCCGCCATCGAACAGGAGTTCCAGGAGATCGACGCCACGAACGACTGGCAGGCGCGTTATCTGGTGAGCCGAGCGGCGTGGTCGGCTCTAGCCGGATAGCCGCAGGGAGGGAGGAACGGCGTGGGGAGAAAGACCCGCGGGCCGGCAGCACTCGTGCCTGGCGTGCGGCTCCGCCGCCGCCTCAGCAGCGGGGAGAGCGGAAGTCGCTGGGCCAACACGACTCTCGCTCTCAGGTGCGAGCAGCGGAGCCGTGGGCAAGCGCTACGCATGCGCACTCGGGGCGGGCTCGGTGGCGCGCAGGCGCGGGGCGAGGCGCGTGCGCGAGCTCGGAGGCGGCTCCGGGTCCGCGCTGCCCCCGGGGCTGAACGGAGCCGGGACCGCTCCGAACCGGGACCGCTTCGAGCCGCGACAGCCGCCCCGGGGCTCCCGCGGCTTGTGGGCGCTGTGGGAAGCTGTGTCCGATAGGGCGGATTCGGCTGAGGCTTGGGTGCCCCCCCCCCCCCCCCCCAACGCTCCGCTGGTTCGTGCGGCTCTTCAGGCGCCCGTGCTCCCTCCTCAGCCCCCGTTCCCGCTGCATCGGCCAGCTCGGCGTCTGCTGCGGGGGCTCTGCGCGAGTGGCTGTAAATAAAATGCAGTATTTGCAGTTTTATTTTTAACGAGATTAAGAACTTCCGAGAACAGTCAGTTCCATAAAACAGGCATTATGTATCAGCTAGAGCAGTTATTTAAGCTCGCAGTATTTTATAGCACTACTTCACAAATTAGGAAAGAGAACCGAACCCCCAAAGTTTTCTTTACTGTCCTCAAATTAGGCTTTTTCTCTGTTGAATCAGTAATTTATGTGATTTATATGTGACTCAAATACAGCATCTCTACTGCAGTATTTCAGATGTTGCAGTTTTGGAAATATTTGTATTACAAATAAGTAGGATCTAGCACCAAGCCTGCCAGAGTTCAGGAAGGGTTTGGACAATGCTTTCAGGCTCATGGTGTGGTACTTGGGGTTATTCTGTGCACAGTCAGGAGCTGGACTTGATGGTCTTCGTGGGTTCCTTCCAGGTCAGGATGTGCTGTGATTCTGTGGGATGGCTGGATATTATGTGGGAAAACTGATTTCTGAATTAGTAATTATATTTCTTTAAATTTAATTCTTTTTAGCAAGCCTACCCTCCCACACCATCACAAAATAGCTAGAAGTATTTCTAGCTATTTTAATACTTCTTTACCAAAGCATGGGTCTGTTCCTGTGCACTGATTGTGCAGGTGCTTTAAGAAACAGAATATGTTGCATCCTGTTACTGAGTAATACAAAATTTACCTTTCATGGAAACTCAGCTGTGCATGCCTGCCAGATCCATTCGTTCCATGAGCAAGTTCCCTAAGCTTGTCAGCCATGTAAACAAGAGAAGTTCCAGTGTGCTGTATCAAAATGGAAAACCTAATAGATAAGAGGTTTTTATACAAATACGTGGAGTATTGCTGCTTGGAAGTTGCTGCTCCACATTGTGATTTATGTTCTTTGCAGATTGGCAGTACATTTTACAGAAAGGTCATGCAGGCAGTGCTAAAAATTAGAGCTTTCTTTTGTACGTTCTATTTCCGCTGATGCCCTTTCTGGCTGTGTTCATTGTCTGGGAATAGACTAGACCATTTAGGAAGCTTGAAGACAGAGATAGTGGGAACACTGAGAAGACCAAATAATGCTCAGTTGTAATAAATTTAAATGCCCTTTGGGACATAATGATCAAATGTGGCAACATAATCTAAAAACAGAAGGAGAATTCAAAGTAAAATATTGTTAATTCTGTACTAAGCAACATTTCTGCTGAGATGGCATCAGTACAGCGATATAAATACAGAGCAATGTACTTTGAAGGCCATTTTCAGTTTTCTACATAAGGTAATTCTGTATGCCTTAGTGAGATTGTAGAAAAGGTGCACTCAGGGAAGAAATCAATAAAGCAGAACATTCAGAACGTGTGAACAGGAGGGTCCTTAAAATAGTGTGTGAGTCTGAGTATCTCCAAGATCATTAGAAGGTTTGTGTTAATGCGTGGGGAGAACAGGCTTTGATTCACATTGCTATTTGGGACTCCAGAATTCTCCATATTGGTTCACATTTAACTACAGCTGTATGGGATGAGCCATCAAACCACCGAGAATAATCCTATGGCCCTTAATAGCAGCCATAAAATCATTAACTGGTTCACTTATGTTTGTGGGGGTTTATGCTGCCGGTCGCTTTAAAGGAGCCAGCAGAATACTGCTGTTGCATCTGAGTCCCTTACTGCTTTGGGAGGAAATGTGCAGCTCTGAGGTAAACTGTGAGCATAATAAGGTTTTGGGATTAGGGTTTTTTTCCTTGCCTTTTGACCCTGATGCATCAGTTGCTTGTCAGATGGTGCTTACATTTGGTAGTTTTAGCCAAATGTAGGAAGATGTAAATGGTAGCAGTTTGGCCGTGAATGAAATGCATCTTCTGGGTGAAAATGACACTAGGGGCAGAAAAACTTGGTTTAAAAAATGTTAGTTATTACTAATGTTGCTTAATTAATAGTATGTGTAGAATGTTAATCTTAATCACGTTGCTGGCTATAAGTAAATTATTTATTTTGTCTTTTTAAGGAAATCCGACACAAATCCAGTGACTACCCTCACAGAGTTGCAAAATATCCAGAAAACAGAAATCGAAACAGATACAGAGATGTTAGTCCATGTGAGTACCTTTTCTGCAGTCATTGCACTAGACCTTCTCTTACCCTGTCAACACTGGAGGTGATAAATCATGGTCATTGCAAATTTTGCATTTTGTTTATTTCTGTAGGCATGTGTCCTGTGATTAATGTGGGATTTTTGGTAACACAAATATAAATGTGTATAACAGGAGGGAGAAGAGTCTGCATGTTAAACTCATTGTGCTGAATGGTGAATGAGAAATGGTTGCAAATCACAGGTGTTAGTGTATAGGTAAATTTTTGTGAGCTGCAGAGTAATGTTTTAGAGGTATTTTTCTCATAGGGAAATTATTTGTTTAATAGTGCTTTATCTGTTGTAAAAATGAGTACAGTGGTTAAGTTAGTACACCTTGACTAAAAGAAATGTTTTCTTTTTGGACTGAGTGATTCTGCGCATTTTTAAGGTGGTGTGGATAAATGCCACTCAATTCCTACTGTTGCTTTAAAAAATGCTTGAAGTTTTGTTGGTTTTGCCCGTGTAGTAAATAAGGTGTGGAGTGCTTTGTACTTCTACTAACTGCCATAAAATGGTCTTTTTGACATAAGGATCTTATGTCTCACGTGAAAAAAAATTTTTTTAGACCAGCTTCTCTGCTACAGAGATGCTGTGGGCTTCTTTTCATCAGCATTTCACTTCAGAAATTGTAAGCCAAAATTATTGCAAAAAGGTATGTGAGCTACAGATAGTGGAAAAAATAATTTTTTTGTAGTATATTAAAGTTGGGACAGATAACATGTTTGTGTGTTCCTTGTGAAGTTTCCCAGAATACTGGAGGGTCCTAAAAACCACTTTATTACTGAATCTAGAGTTTTTGGAGGGTTGCTGGTATATTGGGGCTTTTTGCTTGAGAGCCTGATCTGAATACCTATTCTAAGATTTGGAGAAGTGCTGAGCTCCTTGTTTCCAGTTGAAAGTTGTGGTGGCAGCATGTGCACAGCACTTCTCAAAATGGCACAGAAAGGGTCCTGGATTGAGTCACACTGGTGAGATGCAGTGCTGCTCCTTAGGCTGCTGCCAGGATGCTCCCCTGGCACAGTGAATTTGTACCAGATGGGTCCAGCCTGGTGTGGTGCTGAACCCCCCTCCCTGAAATTTTATATAAATCCATTTACCACACGTGCTGATGGAACTCAGCCTTGGAATTCAGTGCATGGCCTGCTGGCTGTGTCTGCATGGCATCCCATTGGAGGAGTGTCCCGTGCTGAGGAAGATCCCCGGATGGGCCAAGGCTGCCTGCCTGTCACCAGGCTCAGAAATGGAGCCAGGCCTCTGGTGCACACAAGTTGGTCTGTGCAGAGGCACTTGGGTGTCCCGGCTTTGCTGTCCTGTTGCAGCACAGCATTAGCATCTTACCAGTGCTGAAAGAGATGTTCAATTAAATTTCTGTTTCATACCTAAGTTGAAATATTAGAAGGCAAGAAGTAAGATTTGAGCCCAGAAGTCCTAGGTTCTAGTCCTGGGTCTAACATCCTATACAATTTCCTTGTCAGGTGCTGTGTCTGTGCATTTATCTACTGTTTCTCCCATACATGAATGTAATTCATGTAAAGAGAGTGAAGATTTACTTTCAAACTGTTTGTGCTTTTTTCTTTTTAAAAATAGTGTTTCTAAAAGAAGTAAAAATGCATGATATTATTTAAGTAGTATCTAATAATGCCTCCAGTAATACCTTATGGATGTGACTTGTATTCATCTCCTGCAGCTATGTGGAGCTCAATATTTTCCTTAATCATGGCATGCCTTTTACAGTAGTGGGGAGCATCAAACGCCTTTGCTTTAGTCATGGCAAAACCTGCTTCTGAAATGCATGTTTAGCCAGTAGAAAAAAATATGAATGATTGCATTAATTCCTGGAGCCAGTGCAAAAGCAGAGAGATAAAATCTAAAATTGAAGTAGTGGTTTGGCTTAGGAAAAGGCTAGAGCTTTTCTGTTACACTCTGACATAGATTATTGCATGATGAATGAACTGAATAAGATCATGAATTTTATGGAGAATGAGTCAGTTTCTAGCATTTATAAAAGAAGGATGGTTTGAATTGGTCCACCTAGATAGCTTGCAGTACTCGGCACTAAGAACAAAGTTGTATCAGGAGAACAGAACAAAACACTATTTGAACTAGCTAATTCTTCCTGAATTTTACTTCTGTATTTTTAAATATGACTCAGTTGCTTCAGTAAGAACGATGGGAGTCAGGAGCAGAAAGAGGCCTGGAAGGGCAGTATATGATAAATAAGATTTCAAGGTAGCAGTGCCTAAATTTCAAAGCAGCTGGGATAAAAGCTCTGGATAGTTTGGTCACTGTGGTGAACACATCTAATTGTGGTGCATGCATGCAAGGACTTGGTGTTGCAGAAATGTGAGACAACTCCGTCTCACACAATCTTGACATTTCAGTCCTTCACTTTGCAAATTTCGGTGCTTTTTAACAGTGTTTAGATGAAAAACGGATGGTAGTGGTATTCTCAAATAGTCAAATGCTTTCAGAACCAGCTGTTGGACTTTTAAGATCTAGCTACTTCATCATACTGGAAGATGTGCTTTAAAGAAAGAGTTTTATTTCTCCAAAAGCAACGAGAAAATGGTTTGTTAACCATGCTAGCTGCCAGGCCTGTCTACAATCTGAGGTGGTGTGTCTGCAAGAGGAAGTGCAAAGGTTGTTCAGTTTTACGGGAAATATGTCAATGACGAGTCCAGGCAAAAATATTTTGGGTTGGTTTGCCCCATTTCAACTGTGATACCTGGGACAAGTACACTGAAACAAAGTTGTGTCTGTTCCATACATTTGTAGATAAAAGTTGATTTGTTTGCTGGGAAAGGTTAAGCATCTCTGCCCATTATGGTTGAATTTCACAGTGTTTCCTGTTTCATAAGTATTTTTGTTAGTGTCTGTTTTCATTGGCTAAAGATCTGTAGCATGTGTAAGTTTGGTTTGGTAAAAGCCCTCAAGAATTACTGCCTAGATGAAAAAAAAAATAGCAGTCTAATAGTTTGGTATTAGTCTAGAATAGGCAGAGGAGTATTTTGGCTTCATAGTACTGAAACAGGAAGTTAATCTGAAATAGGTTTGGTTTGACAGCCAGTCATTTCCGGACAGATGAAACCATTTCTCAGAAAACGTTGTTAACAGAGCAAAGTAACTTGTGGGGTTGTTATTCTTTGTTAATAATTTTAATGAAACCCCAAAGATTTCTGTAATTAACTTCCTTTCTAAATCTTAACCTTAGTTCTTATGAGTGTAGTGTCTCAGATTGACTGTAAAGACCTTTAGAACTGAGGTCCCAGTTTTACAGGCAAGAAGGAAATCCCCTCAGCAAAATTGGAAGGATTTTTTTTTTTGCCTTTTGCTTTTGGAGGGTAGATGGGGGTTTACACAATTTTCTCTTTAGCCTTTCTTTGTAACATGGTGTGTTGCTCAAGAACCTGGGTCATCTGAGCATTTTTGCTGTGATAGATCATGTTGCTTTTAGAAGATCTTGCAAGGTAGTGATTTCTCATGTTTTCTTCCTGTGGCCTTGAGTAGATTTTGTGTCAGATCTTTCAACCATAGGCTTATAGAGTACAGGAGAGGAACATGAAGAGAATTGTGCTTTACAGGGAACAGAGTTGGAGCTGATTTGAATGTTTTTTACACATGGTGCTGATTAATTATCATTGCAGGAATGTTTGTTCCCTTTCTGTCCTGTGCTTCCAGTGTATGTGCTGAGAACAGGGAGATGTTCAGCCCAGAATAAGCCTGCTACATTTCTTGCCCACATTAGAAGCTAACATTGGTGATTTTTATGATGTTATCTAATGATTCTCTAAAACATCTTACCACGTGAAACATTGTAAAATAAACTCAACTTGCTGTTGAGTTTGGAGATACTTCTTCCTTTGGGCTTGGGGAAGAGGGGAATTTTATAGCACATGCTGATGTAAACTTTATTGTGCCCTAAGATTTTTTCCCATAATCCTGCTTGCAGTTGTACGGATGCTATGCAGTAGTGACATGTATATTCTGGTATGAATACATTTCAGTGGTGAGCTAGGCCATGACTGATGGCATTCATTGTGTACAACCAGTGACAGGGTGGTGAGGAAAAGTCATTTTGCCTTTCCTTTGCCTTAGGCTACCTCTGAAACTTGAGACTGTAAGTCTAGTGACAGAGTATTGCAATTTTAATAATTTAGCAGCTCAGATAGGCTCGATTTAGATTAGTGAAATGGAAGGGATTTGTTGGTAGGCGGGAAAGGTTAGGCAGGGTCACTGGGATGGCTTGCGGCTGCATGTTTTATTTATGACTTTCTTTAATCCACTAAGTAGCATTTCTCCTTCCTCTATTGTTAATAGCTCTATATTTGGGGGACCAGAGATGTCTCTTGGATAAAAAATAATTTTGAAGCTTTACAGTGTTCTAGAAACACACTTGTTTTATAATGAAAGCCTTTTATTAACCAACTGCAAGAACTGCGTGATGTAAAATGCCAAACATTTTTTATCTTGATTTTAACTGAATTTGTCATTTTCTGTTAAGCAAGAGGTGAGCAGATGGATGAACATGGTGAAGTTTTGGGAAGTATTGTCAGTGGGATGGAGTTCCACTGGAAATGGGTAATCAGAATTTGCTTACTCAGATAGGGTCATTCTGGGAGTGTTTTTTCTCAGTGCAGGAGCCAGAATGAGAATAATTTTTAAGGTTTCCACTTCCTTTTCAGGCTGTGTAGTTTGTCAAAATAGGGGAATTAGCACTTCAGAAAAGCAGTACTGTGTTTTAGCTGCTGTGGGCATGGCAACACATAAGCTAAATCTTATCTTAAAGATAGGTTTATCATTCATATAAATCTTAAGTACTTGGTAACTGGAAATTATATACATACGGGAAATACATTACAGCTAACTCACTGTCAAAAGCTGGCTTGCTTCAGTTAATTCAGAAGAGCAAGCCAGGGTTTGAATGAGGTTTCTAGGTCATTGTGTCCTTTAAGAACCTCATCCCTTGAAAGAAGAGAAATCAATATATTCTAGTGGTTTGGTTTTTCTTTTTTTTTTTTTTTGTCCTTTGGACTGTCTGCCAGAGTACTTGCAGGATCTCTTCTGTTTTAGTTGGGGAAGGAGAGGGAGGCTGGCTGTGCATAGAATTTCTTATTAAAGGGACTTAAAGAAAACAACTTGCAGAACTTTATTTGTTATGTTTACAAAGCAAAATGTGCAAGAAGGGAAAAAATGAATGTGAGAATGTAAGGATTCCAGTAGGAAGCCTCCTTGGGGGCTGCAGTCATTTGTCCCTGGCAGCAGTGCAGCAGCTGCCGCCGGGTGATTAAACTGTTAACTGTGCTTGCTTGCGTCACCTTTCCGAGAACACTGGTACCGGTATGTGTGATTTACTATAACAAGATCTTAAGTTTTTCCTGTTGGCAAATGACATGTAATATTTACAGAGGTCTTGGTTTCTTTCCAGTAGAAACATTTCAGATAAAGTGATACATGAAATGAAAAAGTAATGCTTTCCTATCCTGGCAAAATAATATCAAAGAGATATATTTTACTTTAAAATGCACATGTGTCTTAATTTTGCTGTGTCTTGGCTTTGATAATATTCTTTTTTTCTTCATACAGGGGTATCATAATTCTTTTAAGACTCCTGAAAGTTAAGATGGTCTTGCCTTACAGCTGGAATGCTAATGAAAACAGACTAACCCAGTATATTTCTCAAGCTTTTATATCAAAAATAAATTTTCAGCATTTTTCTGTTCTCTGCATGTTCATATGTGAGTGCATATAAAAGCTAGGAGCTAAGGGAGGTGGGGCAACAACCCCAAATTTGAGTGCTTCAGCAGCAGCAAAACAGTTCTACTTTACTGTTGACTTCTTTACTCAAATCCAACAAGATGATCTTTGGTGGTTGCCAATAGCAGAGGGAGAATGTAAAGGCAGATTAAAACCTAGTAAATGTACTTTTCCCAGGTTTCCAAACACATGGAAAGTATTCATATTAAATCATACAAGCAGTCTGTAGAGCAAGAGTCTATCTAATTCTTTAACTGGTTTTTGATTGCCATCAGCTTTTTGCCTATCCAGGTTTATATAAGCCTGGTGCTGCCCAGGCTGCCTGTGAGTTCATCTATTGCAGTTGTGCTGAATTTGATACTTGGTAATTGCTAATGTCTTTGTGTGTTTCCCAAAGTGTTTGTCTAAAGGAAGTGTGAGCCTTTTGGTGCAAGGATGGCTGGGCTGGCATTTTAACAGCAGTCTGGGCACTACTTGAGTTTTGTGGGTCAGACTAGGTGAATTCAGTTTTAAAAACTGGTATTGCATCATAATTCACTTTGCTGTCAGTTTTCTTATGGAATCTATTCCATCTCTTCCTGAGATATGTTGAAGTTTCTTAAAGTAATTTTAGTTTGCTATTTTTTATTTATTCTTCTTATTCTGCTAGATGTTGAGCTTCAGGAGGTTTACAGTCAGTTGAATCTCCTTTTCTGGCATGTTGTTGTGTACAAATTTTAAATTGAAATTACTGTTTATTTAATACAGGGACTGATAAATGGCTGGAGGATTACTTACTGCCAACAAGTCTGATTACCTAAATATCTTCTAGAGGTTCATAAACCTCCTAGAGGTTCATAACTCACATACTAAAAGGTTCTAGAAACTGCCACAATGACTTTTTATTATGCATTTTTTTAGTTTGACAGTATGATAATCTTTCTCATTTTAATGGTAGAATTTTAAACAGAGTCCTTTGCTTGTCTCTGGCATAAAAAGGGGAATTGTCAGTCTTGCTTGTGTAATTTTGAGATGAAACCATGTTGTTAGATTAGGCTTCATTTAATTGGATGATTTGTTGACTATTTTTGGTTTGCATGTGCCTTTTTAGTTTTTTTGTGTTGTATAATATTAGACAATAGCTTACAGGGAAAATGAAATTAATCAAATTCAAGCCTGGCTTGAATTACTGCAAGTAGATTTTCCTAGTTTTTTTTAGCTGTGTGAGCTTAGCTTTATGATTCTACACCAACCTTTGAAACTTCAGTTCACCAAAAGTCTCAGAATTTAGGAAATAATGAACTTAGGAAATAGTGCTGTGGAGTGATCTGGTGTGATAGGACAGTTGTCTGGTGTGAGTTGTGGTGCTGTTGTATTAAGGAAGTGTAACTGTTGAGGGATGACTGTGAGGACCTTTAGGCTTGTGTGGGAGTTTTAATTTGTTTGCTTGGGTTTTTTTAAAGAAAAATTGGTATTCCAGTTTTCTGAGCAGCTTCTATTAATAGCTGCCTGAAATTACTCTGATGAAATGCCAATGGGAGAATGGGGCAGTTATCAAAGTTATGTGAGAAATTAGTTTTTCTTATTTGTAGTTTGCTGTTTGGGTCTTACAGCAAAATTTAGTTCTAGTTGCTTGTAGACTAGATCTAAACCTAAACTTGCCTGTTAGAGAGTATTCATCGAGATGGATGCATCATTAATTCTTAATTTTCTTTGAATTTTAGATGATCACAGTCGTGTAAAACTCCAGAACACTGAGAATGATTATATCAATGCCAGCCTAGTGGTCATAGAAGAAGCCCAGAGATATTATATTTTAACACAGGTAAGCAGTACAATTACTGGGTTATTACAGGGATTGAGAATCTAGGGAGGGGGATTTGTACAGTTGTAATTCATATTTGGATTGTTTCATCTCTCCGTGAATTAAAAGTATCTCATTATTACATGAAGTACAGTATCTGTGTGATATAGTTGTTAAGAGATTATTTTATAAGAAAAGCTAAAGGGGATATTGAAGTATGAGTAATTTACTGCATATGAAGCTTCTCAAATACTTCTTGCACTTTTCTTCAGTTCTTTTGTAAATATGTTGCAACAATACTTTGACCCTTAAGCCATCTTGTACCCTCTGAGCACGCCTGCAGTAGCTTTTCGTTTAACAGCACAGTAGTAGCGATGCTTAAGCCAAAATAACCATTCCCTGAGTTCTTACTGATTTGTTGTTTGCTTTTGTTTCGTTTTTTTTGCCTTAAAAAACCCCCAGCCTTTTTAAGTTCTGGAATGATCTGTGGCTACTTTCTTGCCTGCCATTTCTATAATTCTATTAATAATTTGTTTAAATTTAAGGGGAAGACTCTTTCCTGTTTCCCACAGTGAACTATGTGCTCAAACACTGCTTTGCCTATACATTCTCATGCCTGTTTTTGTATTTTTTACTACACAGGGTCCACTACCTAACACATGTTGTCATTTTTGGCTAATGGTATGGCAACAACAAACCAAAGCAGTTGTCATGTTGAACAGGATTGTTGAAAAAGAATCGGTAAGTGACACTGGGCATAACGTAAAATAAGCCACCAGTTTTAATACAGTTGCGCAATGTTTGATTGTTACATTAGAAGAATATTAAATATCCTCACTTGTGTGCAGTATAATGTGTATTTAATGTGACAGTGAGGTGTGGGAGCTAAGACCTGCAGTTTGGTGAAAATAGCATGTAACAAACGTACATCCAGAAAGGTGAAAATAGCATTCTGAGAAAGGGTGTACAAATAGAACTGGTGAGCAGTAGAGGCAGTGCAAGATGTTCCCAGGACAAAATGGAAGGTGCGAAAAAAAGCATCTTTAGATTGATTCTTCTAAATGTCATGGAGTAGCACATCTGTTATATAGAGATGTTAGCTGTAACAATGAAGGCAGACTGCTGCCCAAGAGCTGTTGAATTGATCTATTAAGTTAGTTATTTTTGATTCTTTAGAACCATTGACATATGTGCAGAATACACAAATCTGTTGTGATGTAGTTTTTCTGCTATGGTGCCTAAAAGCATTGCAGATTTTTGTTATAAATGAATGTCATTTGAGGTTAATGTTTTTTATTCATTGCAGATTTGTGAAAAAAAATTGACTGGTCTGTTAAAAAGTCACCTATTTTCTTGTGCAAAAAATTTCCTAGAGAAAGTTTGAGTGCAGAGCAAAAGGAATACAAGACAAAGAATAGTTTTGCATTGGTTTGTTCATTCTTTTGTTTGACTAGAACCTTCCAGTATTCAGCAGGCCTGGGTAGAACTAGGTGTGATAGATGAGTTCTGTAAATGTGCAGGTGTGCAAGTCAGAAACAAAGGGGAGAAGTGCTGAAATAGCTGAGCAGAGATCTCAGTTCCCTGTGGAGAACTGGAGGGGGGAGGGGGAAGGCTTAAGATGTGTCTCAAAGCTTGTTAGCCATGTGATGGAAGAAAGCATAAACACATAAAACTGGAATGCATAATAGCCACTGAAACAGTTGTAGTAACTTAGCTGTAAACATTGTGCACTTCAGGAATTCCTCAAAGTGGGAGTAGGTACTTGAGTCTTCTGTATTGAACAATGTGGACTCAGAATTTGCACATGCAAGGATATTTAACAAGATTTTTCTTTTTTTCTTTTCCCTTCTTTTTCTTTCTCTTAAAAAAATCCATTAGGTGAAGTGTGCACAATACTGGCCAACAAAAAAAGACGACGTTATGACATTCAATGAAACAGGATTCCGTGTGAGACTGGTGTCTGAAGATGTCAAATCCTATTACACAGTGCATCTACTGCAATTAGAAAATATCAATGTAAGCTTTGCTCAGTCTGTACAGCTCCTATTTGTGGGCTTAAGTGTGTCATGAGAACAACTTAGCATGATGTCACTTCAGGTTTGAGTGAGCTTTTACAGTGGAAATTTTAATGCACTTTACTTCTGAGAATGTTGAAGATGTTTGTGTGGAAATAAGCAGGTGATTTAGACCTCAGCCTATACATTAGGAGAGATAACATCTTTGGCATTTGTGTACTTGTATTTTCCATTTGGTACCTTAACATGCTGAATTCTAAGTGATGGTAGTGGTGATTCTTAAAGGAGCTGTAAGAATTAACTTAAGGGAGGAACACAAGAGTGGAAAATTCTGATTTCCTTTGAATATCAGATACCTGACTGAGTAATTACTGATTTTGTACTGGAACTTGAGATTTCTATGTAATTTAGTCCAGCTGTCTTAAGCTTTTTGGGGGGAGGAGTGATTACCACCTGTAGGTAGGTAACTTTATCTTCTCTTGCTCCACCTCCCCTTTTGCTCCATAGGACCAACCATCCTTTTCTCTTAAAAAATTAAGCACACTGACAATTTAACCAAGCTAAGCTTAAAATAATTGTTTCTGGCCTGAGCTTGGATTGGAGCATCTCTTTCAGATTGGAAGACAGGATTGAAGAGCTCATCTGTTTGTTCCAGCTATGTCTTGTAAAATATTATCTTGCCTTATTTTAATTGAAGGTGCTAGTATGGCAAATTTTCAAGGTCATCTTTGTCAGAGAACTTGGGAAAACAGCTTGAAGGTGTTCTGCATGTTGTTTTAGACAGCCATTGATATATTTGAATTTATAGTAACTATTGATGGTATTCTGAGATAATATTCATTAATTCATAACCTCCCTCATGAGATCAACATGATAAAACTTGGCATGTTATTGCTTGGTCTTCTCCATGTTAGAAGAGCTTTATGAAATATTGTCCTGCTGACCTGAAGAATTTCTCTTTAGTAGTTTGTTTATTGACAGCAAAGGCAAAAGAAAGATGAGTAATGCTGGGTAGCTAGTGCCTGAAAAAGAGCAATTCTGCCTTTTGGAAAGCTGAGGCAAGTTTTCCTAACTACCAGAAAGGCTTCTTTGTGGAATTGTTCAGCTGATGTTGGCTCTCACTTTTAAACTTCCTATTTTCAAAGGATGCAATTTTCTTTACATGTTTATGTTTGAACATAACATTAACTGGAAAATGCAGAAATGCCTCAGGGAACAGCACAGTGTATACTTCAGTAGACTTTTGGGTTGGAGCTATTGAGCACTTAAATTTCTGGGTTTGTTTTGGACCAGCAGTGCAGACCTGTCAGCACTGTACAGAGTTTCTTGTGTGTCATTGTCCTGGTTGAAGATGGCAAACCCAGGACAGTGATATAAATCAGTTTCACAAATACTAATCTTTCTGTAATGAATTTTTATTTTATATCTCTAACACTCTGGTAAGGCTCCGTGAACATGAACTCCAACACATAATTTTTGTAGGAGAAGCAGAACATACTTGGTTACTCAAGCAAAAAAAGCTGCATAGTTTCTAGTCTAAAACTGTCAATGTTATGTGCAGCCTTTTGTAAGAATTTGATAATTATACCATAAAACTTGTGGGAACTGGCTATTCACAGTAACTTGAAATGTGAGCTTAACTGTGTTTATGTAAGTTATTCTGCAGGGGCCTTTGGTGGAGGCAGTGTAAGACATTTAGCCACTCAATGCCTGGAATATAGGATGACTCATGAACAAAATATACTCCGAATGCCCAGAATACTTAAAATTTAGCATTTCCTTGAAAACAGAGAGAACCAAGGTTGTCTTTATAATGCAAGCATTCTGAGCTCAATTAAGTTTGTCTTACTGCAGCAAATCTCTTTAAGAGATAAACAAAATATGGGTATATGAAGAGTCAAGTGTTTATGTTGTTACCAATGAAACAACCTCTGAGTAGTTGGTTGGTTGGTATCCAGGTATTTGTTGGTTTGATTTTTTTTTTCTTTTACATCTGTTCTAGGAAAATTTTGTTCTTAGGGCTAGCACAGAGAAAATGGAGAGAAAATGGTGTTTATTGGTATCTTTCCAAAAGATGCCTAATGTTCTTTGTTTTGCTGGTGATCATTTTTGAATTTGCTTACTTTTTTTGCCTGACCCAATGTATATTTTAGAATGCAGGTATTTGAAGCTGCTTTTCCACCACGGTTCATTTTGTATCTTCCATGGGTTTGGTGGTATCAGTTGTCAGCTTTTCTGAAAGTTGAGTACTGCTTTCTACTGGAATAGTTCAGTTATCAGAGCTGTCCCTTAATAGAGACTTACTGTGAAGGCTTCCACCAACCAGTGCCCCTTGGAAAATAAAGGAGAAGAAAGATAATGTGCTCATGTTAAAATTTTATAATAATTTATGAGTGAAGCTGTTGAATGGCTGTGGTTTGAAGCAAAGTCTCCCAGCGTACTGGAGAAGTCATAGCAAGGTGTATGAGAGCCTGTAAAATCTATAAAATAACCTTTGCAAAATGCTGCAGGAGAATTGTTAGATTCTGACATCCAACTTGGGAAAGACTCCACCTTGTGTTGAATATGTATTTTTGTATTATTCTTTATTGTTGCTTTTAGCTTTTTTATTCCTTAATGTCACAACTTTTTGTATTGGTCTTTAGAGAAAGAAACCTTTGTTTTCAGTAATTTCAGGTACAGACTAATTCAGACAAACTATGCAAGGGCAAATGAACATCAGATCTTCAGGGAAGACAGGGATTGCTTGGATAAGGAAACTGAGCAGTGGAATTTGATATTGCAGAAGGAAACTTGTATCTCAGCCTGGGTTTCTGGAAGTAAGAATACAGCAGTAGAAGGAGAGGTTTGCGAAGAAAATACTTGTTGGCGGAGAAAGGACTAGGACAAATGAACTAAATTTGATGTGACACTGGTGGTGTGATATTTTAGAGTGAGGACCGTTAATAAATCTCTAGTGGAATCTTGGGTCTTCCACAAATAGCAAATATTTGGAAAAACCCATTAGTAAAATGGATTCTCAACTTAGTGCCAAGCTTCTGTGTGGCTGTGACTTTCAGATTAAGGTAATGCAAGGCTGCTTAGCTGATCCTGTGGATGAACCAGAATGTTTCTGATAATTATTTGGCCCCTTTATCCTCAAGGCTATTTTTGTTTAAATTTTGGAAAACATTTTGGCCATCATGAATGAGCAAATAGAGGAGACTCTGGTAGAAGTTGATTTATGGTTTTGAATTTCAGTTTGTAGAATATTGCCATTAGAGGATGCCTTTTCATTTTTATATGATCAAATTAGTTGTTAATGAACTTAAGGCAAGTTCATTAAATATGGAACCACTGTAGGGTTGTAGGTGTTTTATGTCTCCATGTATTTGACCCTGTCAGTAGCACTTTGATTATGGCTTTTATTAGCAGTGTGTGAAACTTAACAGAGCAGCATTGTTTTGTTATTCCCTTTTTAATTTTTACTTGACCCTGAAGGCACCAACTTAACCTTTGAGCATTTTGGTAGTGCTTTATTCATGTTCAAACTCTCATGTGACTGAACTACCTGAAGTTACTCTGAAGATTTTTGCTCCTTTTTGTTTGGAGTGATTGGATAGTCACTGTAAAAAGGTTATGGCAAGGCTTGTTTTGCTGGAAGTTAATTGATATTCCTGTTCTGTTCAAGTCCTCATGTGGATGGGTCTCTGTAACTTGGAGCTTGTCCTTTGATCATCTTTTGATTATACTGTTGATGTTTCCAGTAGTCAGTGCAGAGCTGTGCAGTGTGGTGTCTGTCTTTGCAAGTTCATCAGGTTTAGCTATCTTGGTTATTTATGGAAAGCTTATCCCAGTAGTTCATAAAACTTCCACAGTTTGAGTAATTTAACCAAAATAGGTAAGTTTTGTCCCATGGTCATTCAAAGATTTTTTTTTTTTGGTAGCTAGTTTTAGGGAATAAATCTTGGAAAATTGCATTGTGGTTACCATAGAACTAGCTGGTTTTCAGTTACCATGCAGAAATATATAATATTTCTATGTTATATCCCTTGTACATTACATATAAAATTTTATAGTACTGCCTGAGTCTTGGAAGTCCAGGGGTTTTTATTTGAAAAGATTAGCTAGTTTCCTGGTAACACTTCAAATTAAATTAGTTGTTATTTAAATTTGACTTTTTCTCCGTCAAGAGTTGTGAATCAAAAAGCCAGACCTCTTCTCGTAACAGTCCCACGTCACTTCATGGAAGTGCTGTGTGGCTCAGTGACTGGGAGTTGTTTGAGAAAGGGTGGTACAGATCCTCACAAAGGCAATGTTTCAGCTGTACAGCTTGGCTGCCAAGCACCACTTGAAAGAGCCATTCTGTTTAAGAGCAGTGTGGGAGGTTTGAAATACTCAAATGGGATTTGGCTGTAGGATTAGAGGCTGCGAATTCAAAGATGACCGGCTGGTTCCAGCGCCTCGCAGTGGGGCTCTTGTAGAGAGATGAAGAGACTAGGTATTTCTAGAATGAGCTGAAGGGATGGAAAATCATGGGATGGATAAAGCCTTCATACAAGAAAGGAAGGAAAAATGTAGTTCTGTGGGTTACAGCAGGGTGACATGTACAACAGCACTGTTTCATCTCTCTTTTGGAAAGAAGTATTTCAGATTAGTGTATAAGTAGGGTCACACTTAGCCATACTTTGTTCTTTTTCTTCAGGAAGTAGATGCCAGTTCTTGTTTGGGGTAAAAAAAACCCACACAAAAGAATCCCCCCAACCAAACAAAAGCCCACACAAACAAACCCCACAGGTCACCTTTCTTGAGGTGACAGAAAAAGGCATTTTTACCTTCTTGAGGTGTAAGGGATGTTTTCAGAATGTTGAAGTAGGGAATATCAATTGCTACCTACAGAGATCATCTAGAAACAACTTCAGCCTTTACTTAGCATGTGCATTTAGCTCACCTCTAGTTTTTTCCTTAGTTTTGTTTCTAAAGTGATGAATTGTTTTTCTTAGAAATGGAGGAAATTGCTTAAGTGTTACTTACAGATTTCTTACGAAAAATGTGCCTTCTTCATAATTTTTTAACAAACAGGTCATTCAGTTCATTTGTGAGTTAACTTGCTACTTGAAAAACTAGGTACAGAAGAGCAGTAGGAGAGCAAATGCAAACTCTTTAATGCTTTGCTCCAGACAAGGGAAAGTCTCAGCATATTTATACAGTTTTGGGCCTGATACTCCTTTTTTCCCCTATGAAATCTTAATGTAAACTTGTTTTCCCAATATTGTAGATCACACTTTATTGTCCTTGTTGAGCACCTAGCCAAAAGACAAAATATTTCTGGAAGATAGCTGTGCATCTGAGAGTGACTGGACTCGTGTTAATATCCACTGTTTTCTGTGAAAGTATTGGTCGTCTTGCAGTATTGGGCATTGAAGGCAAAAGACAAGTTGGGAGAATTATTTTTGTTACTGCAGAAACCATGAAGTGAATTCTTTTAGTTTCACAAAGGAATTTAATAAATTGTCTCTCACGGGAAGTAGAAACAGACTGAGCACATGAAGAACAGTAGAATTTATTTTATTTCATGGCTATATTTTACTGTTGCTGAAGAAGAAGAATACCTTTTCTGAAATACATTGATTTTAAATCCTTTTGTGTTCAAACTTTGCCAAGGTTTATGTAGATGTCAGTGTATGTGAAAAATTAAATAACTGAAATAATAAATTATAGATGAATTAATTAAAAATGAAATAACTGAATTAATAAATTTTAAAAAGTAACTGAACATGTATAAAATTCCTGAGCTAAAATCAGAATCACCATGGCAAGGAGCAGCACTTAACAGCAGGTCTGAAGTGAGTTCCATAACAATGTGATCCAAACTTCATATACATACTCTCTTGCTGTCACTTCAGCACTTGCAGTTAGATGGTTGAGTTAGGATCGGAGCTCTAACAGAGTGGTTCTAAAGCAGCTGTATGATTTTGGAATCCCCCTTTTTGACTTAAAAAAGATAGAAAATGTCCAGCAGAAGTCTTGCTGGACATCCTGCTGTATGGGTTTTATAGCCTTTTCCAGGAAGGAACGCTTCCTGCTGCTCTCAGTAATGTGGTTAGTGTGCAGGAGATGTAATACCTCTTGGCATTACAACTTGCTTGAAGCAAAGTGCAGAGTGTGCACAATGCTGACATGGGTTATTTCAGTCATGTTAATTCTAGCTGTCTAGTAACTGCTGTCAGACATTGAACTGCATTATTGGGAGTAAGACATTTGGGAGTAAATAGTAAAGCAAACCAAACATAATATTGGAAGTTTGAGAAGAAGAAGAAGGAAAAAAAGAAAAAACCCACGCGTCGTAATAATTGCAAAGGAGAAAATTGCCAACTCATATAAAACTGCTTCAACATGCACTGTTGGTCGTCATCCAGCTTAAAGCAAGTTACTGGGTTGTTTGTCTTAATGGGAGGTTTAAAATAGACAAGAGCTGTTGATTGAGCTTGGGGGAATGTGCACTAACTGAGCCAAAGAGGAATCCTTTCTAGTTCTAGTGTTTGTTTTCACTTCTAGAGTGGTGAGTCCAGGATGATCTCTCATTTTCATTATACCACGTGGCCAGACTTTGGAGTTCCTGAATCCCCAGCTTCATTCCTGAACTTCCTGTTTAAAGTCAGAGAATCTGGTTCACTGAGCCCCGAGCACGGACCTGCAGTTGTTCACTGCAGTGCGGGAATAGGACGTTCCGGCACGTTTTCATTAGTAGATACTTGTCTTGTTCTGGTAAGTGTTTGCGTTCTCTCTGTCACCCCTTCCCTTGTCCTGACACCCTGCCAACCTTCCCAATATGGGCTTTCTGGTCAGAAGGCTATAAAAACATTGAAGTTAATGACATTCCAGTGGAAACTTAAATTAAGACATCATGTTTTTTTTTTTTTCCTCACCTATTTTGCTGGCAAAACCACAGCTCTTGAAATTTACAAATTCCTCTTGAAGTACCCCAGGACAATTATATATTCTCAAAGCTTCCTGGAAAGTAAATTGTAAACATTCTTTTCCTTTTACGTAAGATGTGCTTAGAAAAGGTTGAGGAGTGGTTGTTTTTTCCATATGAAAAAAGCTTGTGAATATATATTGAGATGATTAAATCTGTAAGTCTTTTTCTACAGGGCCTTTTTTAAGCATACAGAAAATTGTTATTGTTATCTGAACTAGGATGAGAACTCAGGCATGCTCCTAATTCTGAATTTCCCCTGCTGTGCAGCCCTCTGGGTAATGGGGCTTGGCAGCCAGTTCCAGTGTATCAGGGATGTATAGATTGTTTGCTTATAGTGAACTGCATCATCTATAATTGCTCATGACATGAGTGAACCATGAATGTTAAAAAATATTTTAAATAAATAAAAAATTTTATTGGACTTGAAAGTCCAGGCACAGAGTTTTCTCTTTGTGCTTGGTAATAGTGAAAAGGACAGGTTTAACTAAAGTAGAATTTCAATTGAATTACAAGAGACACGTTTTCTGGTGTGATTAGATCCTCTCAACTTACTTTTTTGTTGTTGTTGTTGTTTTTTTTACTTCAATTTTTCTTTGGTTTTATGCATTTTGAAAAGTATAGAGGTATGTTTTGATGGAAATGTACTTCAGAAACACTCTGTGAATGTAATGTGGGGACAAGCGTGTGCATTGCTTGGGTTTGGGGTTCTGCTTTACATAAAGAAACTTCTGCCATAATCAGTCAGTCTGAATTCTGTTCTATTCAGAAGCAGTAGGAAATATTACTTTACAGCTCTGATTCTTATAGTCCCATTTCAAAGTCCAAATACAAGCCTGAATAAAATTGAGCATATCTATATGTCTTAATTTTAAGACTCAATGTTAGGGTACAGTTTATTTGTTTAATACGCTATCCTTGATTTGTTCATAGTAAGTTTTCATTAGATGGTTCGCATTTTTCCTTCAAAAACAAATTAGAAATCATTTGAGATGTTAATCGTCCTTATAACTAATAGAAGCATAATATGGACAAATTAGATTTTAGATTGAATTTAATGATTAATTTTTACTTGTAATTATTTTTATATACCATTGACACTTTCAATGTAACTTGCTTTACAGATGGAGAAAAAAGACCCATTTTCTGTAGATATTAAGAAGGTATTACTGGATATGAGAAAATATCGAATGGGACTTATTCAGACTCCTGATCAACTAAGATTTTCATATATGGCTGTAATAGAAGGAGCAAAATTTATAATGGGGGATTCAACTATACAGGTAAATATTTAGCTCCATGTATTTGAACAGCAGATTGCAACAATAGTTAAAAATAAGCTCCAGATTATTTTAAAATATGTAATTTTATGAGATCTAAATGATTAACCTTTTTCAGTAGATGCCTGGGAGGTATCAAAGGGTATCTGTTCTGTGCCTTCTATCAAACTAAACTTTTGACCCTGTGTATACGTCCCCTCTTAGATAAAATAAGAAAATAATTTGTCTGTCCAAATGTTTAAGGAAAAAAAATTGTTCAATTGATATTTTCATTACCAAAAAGGGAAGGTAATGCCCAGTGTCACTTTGAAGATAGCAAGGGTCTGTTTTAGAATTTCTTTGCTGTTTTCCTAGCAGATAAGTTGCCTGATGCTACAGATAATATTTATTTGTAAAGTTGCCTTGTTTCTTCATAGCCTTTAAAATTTGTGTTAGAGTTAGTACAATCTAGCTAAGTATAATGATTTTGGGTGTAAAGAGATTACCAAATCTCATTGTTTTATCAGTGCAGCTTGCAGACATAACAGCTTACAGCTTTAAGTGGCTAGCCTGGGTGGGATGGAGAAATGGGAGGAGAGGCTTTGAAACACGTTTCATTCTGCTTTCATATGCTAGGGCTCTTTTATTTTGTTGATTTCTTGAAATCATGAATAGGGCAGATAAGCTAAAACACATTTCCTTTCTTTGTGGTATTGGTAGTGGTCTGATTCTTCCCTTTAACAAATGTTTCTTGACTTGCTGTGTAAATAAAGAAATAATTTTACACTACTGCTAATCAACACCTAGATAGTGTGCTACTGGTCTGGTACCTGTGCCAGCTGTCTAGAAGACTTCGTGACTCATTCTAATGCTAACAGCAGTTTAGTCTCTTCATTTTGTGGAAGCTGTTTCTGGTGGTATGAGGTATTGTGTCTAGTACTTGGCTTTTTTTTTTTAAAAGCCATGCTCCAAAGTGAGCAGCTCTGGTTCCAATGCTTACCCATCTAGATCACAGGATTTCTTACTTTGGATACAAGGGAGCATTGTCAACTCAGAATACTGCTTGTCATGTTCAAGTGTGTTATTTATTCATAGTAAGAAAATGCCTAGGAAGGCACAGTTCTCATTTGTTCTCTTTTTCTTGTTACGATTGTTCAGATGATCTTCCTTAAATCAGTGTTTCCTGCAGTGCAAGGCATTTGTCCTGATGCTTCTCTCTTTAGGCCTTGGCAATATGTGCAGAAAATCAATTGGCAGTGCTCAAAAAAGCACATTTCTCTTTCAAGGTCAGCTAGGTCATTTTTATTCCATGAGGAATGGTTGATTCTTCAGAGTGTGAGAGGTGTTCATTTCTCTCTGCTAGTGGTGGAGAGGGCCTGAAGTTATTGAATGCCTCTCTTATTTAACATTAGCCAAATGGTCATCTCTGATGTCTCCTTGGATTTTGGAAGGCAGGAAACTGTGCAAATGCAACTTTAGATTTTAATGGAGGAGTCAGTTCATTGTTAAAACTCACTTTGCCAGCAGTCCATTTATAAATAGCTGATTTTTTATATCACTTTGAGTTTGATATTTAGTTTAGGCCAGCAGTCTTGTAATCATTCCACGGACAGGAGTCTATTGCTTGATTTGAGAAGATTCAATTTTCAGTTCATCTACTTTATCTTAGACTTCTAAAAGTAACTGATTTTTTTCCCTACAAGGTATTCTATGTCTCTGTAGGCACTGGCTGATTTGTGTGAGAAAAGTGATTGTTTTTTAGGGCTGATTCTTTTCCTTCCTGTGCACTTTCTAGGCTTCTTTTCTGCATGAAATTTTGTTGTAGCAATTAGTTCTAGAGACTATTTATCATTAGGACGGAGATCTGGCAAAACAGGTTTATGTCCAATGCCTTTTTTTATTCCATCTAATTTCAGATTACTTCTCAAAACAAGATGAATAACTATTTTATGATGCTGCAGATCTCTGGGCTAATGGGCCACTAAGTGAAATAGTAGGCCATGACTCTGGCATAGATAACTCTCAGTTAAATTTTCCCAGTTCTCTCTTTTTAGGCAGTGTTTGTATACAAGGTCCTGCTGTATTTTGAAGCCATACAAGGTAAGAGCACAGCACAGGCCTGTAACAAGTAGAGGGACAAGGGAAGTGCAGGACAGTGCAGGATTTTATAGGACATAATGCTTCCTAATTGTGGAGCTGCTGTGGACAGTACAAACCCTGAAGGTAGAGGCCTCATGCCTTTGCAGTGGCACCATCCTGGAAATATAGAAAAAAGGATCATTGATAGTTGTTGGAGAAGACACATCTTGACCTAACTTTATTTCTTCATCTAGCAAATTTTTTTCTTGATCTGGTAGTTCCTTTAATCTACTTCTGTGACTGTTCTTTTGGAAGACATCGTGGCAAGGGAGCCCTTTAATATTAGGGGAATGTTTGAAATGTGTTCTGCTTGTTTTCAGGAACGGTGGAAGGAGCTCTCTAAGGAGGACCAAGCACCAAGTTCTGAGCAGTCTCCTCCACGCCCAACCAAAATAACCACAGAGAAGTACAATGGGAACAGCATAGGCCTGGAGAACAATGATCAGATGGAGAAAATAAACCCTGACCTGTCCACTAAGGTTCAAGATATCGTAGATGGGAACGTTGAAAAGTAGGCAAGATAATGTAACTTTAAAAGGCAGATACACTCAAAAGGCTGAATTATTATGCTGCTTTGCTTATTGTAAAAACATTCAAGATCTTTCTGTAGTAGCAAGGGAGAACAGGTGGTATTTGACTGTCTTATTGTAATGATTTTAAAAATACCACCTCAATGATTCCTTGTGATTTGCTTTTATTATTCAGAAGTCAAGAGAAGAAAAGTTAATGTCTCTAACTGAAGCAGCTAGACCTCACACTTTGAAAGCATTTTCTTAACAGATTGTCAGTGAACTCCATTGTGAAGTGTGAATGAGGTCCTGAAATTGTCCAGTATTTCATACTGATTTTTAAATGCAATGTTGATCTATGTTTCAAAAATTACATGGTACCTCAGAAGCACAAAGGTTTTATCACATACCACTTTCTGTGTCGTGGTCGAAATTGTATCTCTGGAGCCGTGTATTACCCTCTGTTCATGTTAAATCTGCCTGCTGTAGGCAGGTTCCTGTGGTTTAGCTGTGTCAGGTGAATTTGCCTTTCCCCCAGGAGCGTTGATTTGATGCCTCATTGGGAGGCACGGTGTCACTTGGGCCTTCCCACATGTGGGTTGCCACATGTTGATCCATAGCCACAGATCCAGAAACTGGGTCAGGGCTGTGCCAAGCTGAGCCATATGGTGCACAGAAGGAGGCAGGGTGTGTCCCAAAGGGCTGCAGCCTGAGATGAGACACAGCAGTTCAGTATAGATAGGCTGGAATTGCAAAATAACGGTTAATGCTGTTATAATAACAGCTAATATAACAGCTGCTATAAAAACAGCTAAATAAATGCCCCCATGAGTTTCCTCCTGTGTCTTCATGGGTGTTTTGAGAGAGAATGACAACATATCTGTAGTTGTTTGAAGGAGCCCCTCACAAGAAAGAGTGAGGCTATGGGGTTGTGTGTTAGAAGTCAATGGAAGTTGGTTTTTGTGTCAGTTATGCTGTCTTAGAGATTTCAAGGGCACTTTGTAGATATAAATTGCAAGGTTGTGCTGCTAGTGTAACACAGAGAACTTGGTTTATGGTGTGTCCTGTATCAGGATCTGGTTTGCATCCTGAGATGAGTACCATTAATCCTGCATGCAGCTGTGAGTAGGGGTTGGAGTCAGTGTATCATTGAGGCTGCTGTGAACTCTGCAGTGGAGGCACCCTTGTAAATACTGGGACACTTGCACGTGGTACCTGGCACTGCATGTAAAGGCAGCCTCCACACAAAACATCTCAGCTACCAAATGGGGCCCAGACAGGGGTGAAAGACTCAGCTCAGATAACTTAACTAATTCTGTTCTCTGTGGAACTTGTAGATTAAGTACTGTGTACATCTTTACATCTGTCATTTACTTATTTGTGGGGCTTCGCTATCTGAAACTCTCTACAAGATGGTTAAAACATAATAAAAGATTGCTTGGTTTGGATTTTATATACTGCTGCTGTATGCTGCTGCTGGGTTAACTATTTGGAGTGTTGGAAAGAGGTTCGTTTTAATATTATAATAGCCTTTTTTCCTGTTCTTCAGTGTAAGAGTCACCTTTTTTTCTTTTTAAGTTCTGTCCGAAAACGACTGCGGGAGGATAGAAGAGCGCAAACAGCACAGAAGCTGCAGCAGATGAAGCAGAAGCTAAATGAGACTGAAAGAAAAAGAAAAAGGTGGTTATACTGGAAACCTATTCTCACTAAGATCGGGTTTGGTACACTGTTTTTAGTTGGTGCTTATTTTTGCTGGAAAATGTATTTTCAAAAACATTCCTTGTAAGTGAACAGTAAGTGTGACTGCTCCAACAGATTTTGCTGGAAGGTAATGAGTAGGGGTGTGATTTTAAGCATAAACTCCTTATTCCTGGAATGGGTACAGACTGTTACAGACAATAGAGAAGTGATGTAAACTTGATCTCATGTTGACATCTCAGGACTTTCCACTGCAGGTACTTAGAAAAATGAACTGCTGCCCCCCACAGAATTGATGGTTTTTGTTTAATATGAGCAGGTACAAACTTGCTGCAACTGTTTATACACTTTTTAAAACGGTGTTCTACCAGATCTTGAACAAATGCTGAACCATGGAGGTTTAGCTACTGAAGGCTGGCTGGATTTAAATTTACATGCCTGACATAAGCAATAAACAGTGTTGTATCATTTACACTATTAATGCAAAGAAGTTATCCTTAAATATGTGTAATGTGTAATGTACTAGTGACATGAACATAAACATTTTATATTCTTACAACCTAGGATAAATATATTTTATAATTGCATATTTAATCTTTTTGTAGTTCACTGTACTTTTAAAAGCTCAGTTTGTACAAATTTCTGACCAAAAGAATTTCATTTTGAACCTAAATGTAATTATAATTTGTGCATGAAAAGAATAGTGCAACCATTCCCCACATTTGACTCTCCAGTGTGAAATGAGCAGCTAGGGGTCTGATGAAGCACTTGCCAATTTCTACTCTGTTAATTTGCATTCCTTATTTATTTTTTGTAGTTTTCATTATTTAATACTTGGAATTTTTTTTAAGGCTTTTGACAACTTAGCCCCGACTGAAAGTCATACTGTTGATTAATGTATTCAGACTTCAGCTACTGTTTGAAGGCCAACATTGCTCGAGTTCTGACATTCCATTAAATGTAAAACATGTTTTGTGTGTCTATAGATTTTAATTGCTAGAACAAATAAAATTAATTCACCAGTAATAGTTGTAGAAAACACATCGAAGGAAACTGTAGTTGAACTTCCAAGGGTGGCTCTAATAGAAAAGAAATGTTGGTAGTGTTCTGCCATACCCGGTGTTTTCAGCTGTATGAGCCACTTTAGTAGCTTTACAAAGTCTGGAACTGCTTTTCAGGTTCCTCAGCACTGTATTAGACATGCTAGTAAAACACATTTAGGACTAATATTTTGGGAGAATCTGTGCTACAGCCCCTTTAAAATTATTGAGCACTCCTTTTCCATTACTTGAGTAGTAACACTTCCTAAGTAGTAATTCAACACAAACCACTTTCTGCCCTTTGAATACAGAGATGGTATATGGCTGAATGTAGCTTGTTGTTCAAGCTAGGATCTAGTAATTTGTAGGATTGGATTGTTCTTTGAAACAGGAATTTTATTTATTCAAGCATTGCCTTGTTGGGTAACTTCAGAGAAGTTATGTTTTCTTCTTCTGTTTTCTAAGCTTGGTTGTTTTCTGTTGGGTGTGGGGTCCTGGGGGTTTTCTTCCACCCCCCTCCCCCATTTTGTAAAGCCATTGTTGGATTTACTGCTGAAAAATACTCAAAAGACCTGGATGACTATTTGCTCCTTATTCAAAGGAATTGACTTCAAAGCTTTGCAGTACGTCCGGGCTTGGTAGTCACATACGAGGCATGGGGCCCAATTCCTCTGACATTTACTACCCCAAGCTAAGTACAGTTTACTCTTTAAAATTCTCATTTGGCAATAGCTAATACTATTCTGGACCACGCTGTTTGTATAGTAAACAAATGCTGAAGGGTCCAGATGAGCAAAACAAATGCAGTTTTGTGGAGCACTGGATTTGGGAAGTTGTGCGTCAGTAGAACAAGACAGTTTGTTCCATGGCATTGCTGACCAACTGTGCAGCTCCAGAAGCAGAAGGACTGCTGGGACAGCTAACTGCTGGGACATAGCACAGGCAGGCAGCTCATGTATTGTAAGACATTTTATAATTTTTACAACCACAGTAACTTTTAGCCAGCAAGAAGACTGTCAAAAGATTTTTTTTCCTTTAAATTGAGGATAGGTTTTTTCAGTATCAGCTGTAACTGATAGTAGGTGTAAATGTACGTGCCTTATAAAGATATTTTGGTTATGGAAAAATACATGGAATGTAATTTAAATGCTTTTGTAACAGAAATATTCCAGATTTTATTCTAGATACTTAAAAGCAGCTAAGGAAAAAGTGCAGGCAAAACTTGGACTGATACCACACTGTTATTTATTGCCCTTCTTTTGGCATGAGGAGGATTTCCTGGGCTACCAGTATCCTACAGGCACTGAGCTCTAACTGCAGCTTGTCAAGTTGTAACTTGATTTTTTTTTTTTTCCTAATTCCATCTTCTAAATTCTGGCTTTTCAGTTTTCTTGATCCTGAGCAAGCATTCCTCAGTTCAGGGTGGGGCAGGGCAGGGGGCAGCCAATTCAGATCACCTCATACTCTGTTACCTTCTTGATGCAATAAAGCAGGACTTGCACATTCAGCAGTTGTTCTGTAAAAGTTGGGTTCTGTGATTGCAAGTACCTTGGGAGTCTTAAATGTTAATAATTTAAGGAGGATGAACCAGTGCAAGCCTTGGACAAAACTTTTGAACAGTGAACTGTTCATGGTAGTCTGAGAATAGTAAGAAAAATCAAATCATTGGTTTCTTTTTACATTCCAGGAAATAATTTGGATAAAAATCTTCTTTCTGGTCCATCACTAATCCTTAAAACCCAAAATCTGGAGGATTGTTTTCCTTGATGCACACTAAGCCCTTGTGGTACTTTGTTATTCTGGAGGATTTAAATTTGCAGCATTTTTGCACAGCTTGGATGTTAAATAGGAACAAATTTGGGCCGAAATGAAGAATTGTCAATCCCAGTCATCTCTATCATAGGAAATGCTTAAAGGGTGAATTGAAGGGCATGCCTTCTGACCCCTCTTCTCTCCCCATCCCTGAGTTCTGGCAAACTGCTGCCTGGTCCCAGCTACTTCTAAAATGTCGTTGGGCTCGATTCAAAATTGGTTTTGGTTTGGTTGGTGTTGGTTTTCCTCCTCTTCTCTGGAAATGCATCGGTCAAAATATTTGATGCATAGTGGGCATCTCTGATTAAACATTTGGCTTTCAGATGAACACTTGTGTACAAATCACGCACGTTTTCATAAAGAAATACCTAGCAAACATTTGGACCTCCACTGCAAGGGGTTTGCAAGATTGGAATTAATCCTCTAGGTTTCCTGTTTGTGTTCTTGGTGCAGGGACAGTCCACTTAGTGACGGTACATTTGTATTTTCTTTGAAATGTATTAAGTAAAATAATATAATTCAGTGTGAAATAGCAATTTGGAAAAAAAACCTCTGGATTTGTTATGGAAGTGAGATGTTGCCAGTGAAATGTGGCTTATTCTGTTAAACCTCGATTAATATGGTTTACTGACATCAGTTTATGTCCCCCTGAAAAGGGAAGAGGCGTAAATGTGTATGCATGTATGTGTGACTGGATCATGCAGGCGATGAAAAAGCCTGGTTAGCTTTATGTTTAATGAATGTAAACCAAATTATTTCGTTTGCTGTTTGGCATTATAGTAAAACCTGAGACACTTGAGGACTGCACGAGAAACTAAATTAACAATGACAAAAGAGGAAGTCCTCTGCAGGGCCAAGTGGCTTAAGCTAGAGGACGGTATTTGCAAAGGTGACGTGACACACAGTAGTCTTCCTGGGCCTTTTTGTTTGCCCCCAAAGTTTTAAGTCAGTCTTTCATTTTTATGTACAAAAAATAAACGTGTTCAAAATTGCATCTCTGTCTGAGTCTTTATTTAATTGGAAGGATAAATACTTGGAAGCCCTCTTTCAATGTGTCGTACCTGGTGTAGGAAAGCTGCTTTATGAATCAGTGTAGTGCTTGCAGACCTCAAATGCATTTTACTTGTAGTAGCTTGGGGGTGTGGTGCTGTGAAAAGTCTCTTTCTGTAGACTCTTGGAGTAGAGCCTTCCCTTGCCTAAAACCAAAATGTCCAGTGCTGGGGTGTCTTTCTCACTACAGGAAATCTATGCCTAGAAACAGTTTCTTTCAAGCCGCTGTAGCAGGATTGGCCTCCAAAGCTGTGGGAGGTGATGTGTTTTGAGATGCAGCATGCCATAGTCCCTCTGAGGCCCAAGGGGACTTCTGCAGTGCTTGTGGTTGCATGTGTGAGGAAGTGGTTTGCTGGACTGAGACCTGTACTTGAAGCTGTCCAGCAAGGATGTGCCTTACACTGTAACATGGAAATCCCTTCTGGAAAAGCAACGGCTTTCCAAGAGTACTTGCTCAGAGGCACTAGTTGCTCCAGGGAACACATGAGAAGCTGTTTGGTGTTGACAGTGAGCTGCAAACCTGCTGTCAGTTCTTAGCTCTTTTTTTTTTCTTGTTGTTTTTTATCCCCGTACTCTGTACTGAATCGGTGACTTTCTTTTGGTTGTATGTCGCAGGCCGAGACTGACTGACACCTAAGCCTTCGAGACTTGGGAATATTCTGCAGCTATAAACTGCAAATTATTGACATGCAAAGCAAGACATGACCCCCCCCCCTCTTCGGGAACAAAAAGTGAGGTCTGTTAAGTACCAAGAGGACCTCAGTTATCTGTTTACAGCGTAAACTGCACCGAGGGGATGAAGACCACCAGCAGCGTGTGCTACTTTGCAAAACAAAATAATTTGCCATCTTGTGTTTTTATAATGCCTGTATTAATGTAGAAAGATGTAAAAGAATTAAATTAGGAAGTATTTTCTTTTGTACTGCCATTCTTACTGTATTTTTATACTTTTTGGCAGCATTAAATATTTTTTTAAATTGATGATGTGCTGTTGTGTGCGCGTTATGTTAGGGAGAACCTGTTAAGAGTGTGTGTTGTGGAAAAAGAAGGGGTTTGCCTTAAGGTTTCCTGATACCTGTCTTAACTGGAAAATGGCAAAATTATTAGAGTGTGCTTTTTGCAAGTATTTTCATTAATGCTAAGTATTGTAGTTTGATTTAGGAGGAACTCTTGTACATTTCTTTTGTAATACACCACTAAGAATATTATTTTAATAATCTGACTAGTTGGTTTGGTAATTCTTTTTATGTTTGCTATAAAATATGCACAAAATGTTCAGAGTAACTTTGTGATGGGAAAGTGTTCTGTTGGTGATTGCTTTAAAGGGAAGAAAGAGGTTGAACCTGGCCTTTCTTGACCCAGAGTCCTGTGTAGTTAATGGGAGCTGAGGAACAAAACCAAAGTGCACAAAAGTCAATGGTGTCTGTAATTAAACAGGTTTTGGATTGTGCCATTGCCGTGTGTTCTATGGACGGTATTTTCCTCACATCTCCCACCTTCTGTCAGCCTTCTCCTTGACATAGTCAGGATGGATTGAAAATGGGTAAGCCAGAGTGCTGCTTAAAGGAGTTCTTCCAGCGAAGTCAGCAGGGTTTCCAGCCCTGTGCCTTCTGTAACAGAGCTAATCTCAGTTCTCTTGTTCTCTGATGGTTTTGGATAAACCTTAACTCACAAAACTATATATTTATTATGACTGTCTGAACAGGCATGTGGTGGGGTTTTACATGGTAGCAGCCTGAAATCTTATCAGAACTTGGTCTTGAGGGCCGTTCATGAAAGCAGTGATATTCAGAGTTGTGTTCAACTTGAAGGGGAAGCAGAAGCAGGGGAGTACTTAATGCTATTACTTGAGCTAAAGACACACTTGACACCATCCTGAAATAGTCTAAATTTCCAGTCTGGTTTGTCCAAAGTTTTTTTCTTTACACGATTACCATTGTTCTGAGCCTATGCTGGAGGAGAAAACAACATTGTGACTTGAGTTTTCATTTTCAAGTTGGTGCAGCTGTGAAACCAGGAGTGTTTATAGAAAGAGATTAAGCTCTGCCAAAACCACTGCAACAAACCCTGCTATTGTTGATTACAGGAGCAGGGCCTGTTTATACCACGTGGGACATCTTTGGATAAGGCTCTCAGCTGTTCATGCCTTTTACCTTTAGCTGTGCTTTCAGTTTTCATTCTTTTTCCCCTCTTGGAGTTGTGAGGAAGCACGCAGTGCATGACTACTGGCAGTGTGCAAGTGCCACCTTATTCTACCTGCTTCTATCACGTGCTTGTTTGTCTTGTGGGGCATAAACAGCTGAATATCCCAATAAAGATGCTGATTGTCCTTTGTTTTTAAATGATTTCAACTATTGAGATGGTGGAATAAGGTTAATGTCAGCCAACTTGATGAATGGGCAAAGGAGATCAAGATAGAGTAGTTCCAAAACCTTTGTT